AATAACCAGGAATTTTATGTAAGGTTTTAAACATAATACCAAACAATATATAAGGCATTGGGAGGAAGGTTTGAAATGAATAGAACAGCTAAGGAAGAGTATAAAGGTGGGAAAAATTAAGAACAAAAAAGTGAACTGTCTACATCACCACCCCCCACCACCACCACCCCCGCCCCAAATATATAATTTTGAACATTGCAAGTTCAAAATTTCTGTTTCTAAGCCCTGGAGAATGTCTTGTTTGGCAACATTCTCTTGGGTTTGACTGGTACTTATCACGCTCCCTTCCCTTTGCATCTAGGGAAATGTGAGTGGGTTTTCAAGAGTGAAGGAGGACAGAATAGTAAAGGCCTCAGCAGTGGTCAAATAAAAGTGCTCTAGAAAATTGTACAGGGCCGGCTGAGTGGCTCAGTTGGTTAAGAGCTCGCTCAAGAGTTTGAGCTCTGAGCAACAGTGGTTTGAGTCCCGGCCCGAACTGAGCAGCCACTGAGCTGCCAATAGGTGGCAGGATGGCTCAGCTAAAAAAAAAAAAAATTGTACAAAGACCCCAAAACTACTAAGGTGATCATTTATCCTTGGCTGCTTGTGTGATTTTTCCACAGCTGTGATTCCCTCAATTCAGCTCTGCTTCCTACAAATGTCCCTGCCATTCTTGATGCTTTACCAGAAGAAGACAGATTGGAAACAATTGAACGGTACAGTTTTTACCTTTGGTGTCTAATGGAGTCTATTTTCCAAAAATATAGTAGGTGCTGTGAGAGATTTCACAAAAGCACACAGTGTCTGAGCTTGCAACCCAAACGAGATAAGGCTAACATAACACCCAGCCATACCCCTAACTAGATAAGATGCTAAATTAATGGTGGAGAATACAGTCTCTAAGGTCTTAAATTTGCTGATCTTTAGGTGCTCCAGGAGCTCGAGGGAGGAGAGAGCAGAGGTGGTGCTAAGTGGGTTTGGAAGGCCTCAGTGGTCATGTGGACTTGGGTCAGTACTTGAAAGATGGGTAGGGCTTGGAGAGGTGTTAAGAAATACAGGCCCAAAACCAAGGGGCTTAAATTTGATTTTACTGATGAGCATCCAACGGCCAGTGAAAATATGTCCTTGAATCTCCTGTTGCTGTGCCCATTTCAACATTTTTACATGTAAATCATCAATTAGTGAAGTCCTAAATATCTGAGGCATATATCCAGTCCTTCTAAGACCTGCCCACATGCCATGGTACTTGGCAACACATGAGTGTTTGAAGCTCAGAATCCAGGAAGGTTGAAGTGTCTTCTGTTCAGACCACTGCATGAGGGCATCTTGAGAACGCTGCAGCCAGGCTTGGGTGATACACATTTGCTTGAAGTTCAGAGGAACAAGTGCTGTCTGGCAGGGCCACTGGGGAGCCACTCAGCAAACCAAAACATAGCTAACTGCTCCTCCATTCACCACAGATGTGCAGACTATTGTGACTCAGTTTCCTTGTCTTTGAAATGAGAATAATAGTGCCTACTTCATAGGGGGTTTTAGAGTAAAAGAGATGATGATGCTGATGGTGGGGATGGACGGTAACTATAACCTAACGTTTGCCCAGCACGTAGTGTGGACCAGGCACCGTGCTTTGCAAGCAGTCTCATTGAATCCCCACAATGAGGTCTTGCTATCATCACCACCTTAGAGACCAGGAAACTGCTAATGAGTGGGTCATGCTTGCAAAGCACAAGCATAAGTGATTCACATATATAGCACCTGCTTAGTAATTGTTAGCTTTCAATTTTATGGGACTGGAATAACTTTTGCAATTTTTACAGGTAGTTTCCTTAGTAGAAGCTTGCTAGGCCTGCCTCTATTTATGTGTCACTACTAAATAGAGTTCCTGTTTGTAATTCCAAACTTTGAGGCTTTTGTTGATCTTGGAAGCATTTCTCTTTAACCGAGTGTGGTGGAGACTGCTGCTATTAAAAAATTCATTCTCTTCCTCTTCTAAAATAATAGAGTTGTTGAAACTTGGGGCTAAATTTTCCAGCCTTTCTTGAGTTAAGTCATCCATTTGACTAGGCCCTTGCCTAAGGAACATGAGCAGGTGTGAGATATTCTACTTCTGAGGTCAGGACCCTTAAAGGATTGAGGGTAACTCCTCCCCACGTTCTCTCCCTTGCTCCAGCTGATACGGCAGTGACCCAGCTGTAACCACCAAACAGCAAAGCTCTAGCCCAGTCCCAGTGAACTATGACCCATAGCCAAATCTGGCCTGCCACCTGTTTTTGTAAATAAAGTTTTAATGTAACATAACCACACCCATTAATTTATGTATTTTTTATTATTTCTTTCATACTACAACAGCAGAGTTGAGGAGTTATACAAGAGACCATTATGACCTGCAAAACCTTTATAGAAAAAGTCTGCTAACCCCAGCCCCAGGGGATAGCAAATCACAAGATTAAAATAACCTGAATCCCTTTCATTTATTATTTTACCCATAGATTATTTAGACATGTGTTGTTTAATTTTTTAAGCAGTTGTGGATTTTTATTTTCTTTGTTATCTTCTTTGCAGTTGATTTCTATTCAAATCCCATTGTGGCTTTCTTTATGGTCCATGATATGGTCAATATTGGTAAATGTTCTGTGTGCACTTGAAAAGAATATGAATTCTATAATCCCATTTTAAAAATTGTTTTTTAATTCTCTGCTATTTCTACCATGGTTCACTGGTGGAAAGCAATTTATCAGCCTTATGCTTCTCTTAACACAGACCCAACAAAAATAGGCAGAACTAATAATGTTGAAGACCACAAGAACTGCATAAGTCTTAATGATGACAATATTTCTCTGTTTTATTTTGGGAAGGGAAAACTGTTCCAGCTAAACATCATATTCCTTTTCAGTGAGCTCTGTGAACAGAATATAGACGTTATGTTGACTCCAGAAATGATCAAAGTGGAATTCCCTATGTTGGACTACAAGGACACCAAGAAGGAAAAGTAAGTGGATGCTTTTATGCCTAAGTAAGAGGTAACCTTGGATAAAACTTGTCCTACATGAAGTGCAGAACTGTCATTTTGTCTGAATCTAAATATCTCAGGTTTCAAGGGAGGGAGATATTTAGCTGTGTATTTCATTTTATGCACAATGGCATTCGCTCAAATATCGATTGCAAGTAAGCCTTTAAAAATGGCATCCCGTTTTTCCATTTGCTTATCGTTTAATTTCAGACATGTGTCTGTTTCTTATTGGTAACTGAATGAGTTTTATCCAGTATGAGGAACCCAGGCTTGGGGCCAGATGAGACCTAAGGCTGAATCCCAGCTCCACCATTTATTACATGTGAGATCTCTAGCCAGTTACCTATCTTCAGTATCTGGGCCTTAGTTTCCTCATCCGAAACAGGCAGAAAAACTCTCGCTCACAGGCGATTGTGAGGGTTAAATGAGAGGCGAACATTCAGACATCTAACTAGTGGCTTGATGTGAACTAGATGCTCAGCAAATGTTAATTCTTCCCTTTGCCTTCCATATCAGGGGCCAAAGATAAGCAAACTTCATCATCCTTCAAGAAACTGGTTTGATGAATACTTTTATAATGGAAATAACCACATGTAGTTCATGTGGTTTATAAGTTTGAAATTCCAGGTATACTTCTAAATTTTTTTTTATTTAAAAAAATGCTTTTTTATTATTAAAAAAATCAGAAATACAGAAAAATATAAAGAGTAAAAGAAAAACAATAATCCTATTACCCACTGATGGTCACTTGTACATTTTGATGTATGGTCTTCCAAAAATTTATTTAAGTAAACAAATATACATATATGTATGTTTTAACAAAATTCAATCATGATATTATTTTTGTCTTGTACACTTTTATTTAGCACTATAAATAAACATATACTTATAAATATAGACATACATCATTATGTTTCACTGGCAAATGTACCATGATTCAGTTAACCAATCCTCTTCTGATCATGTAAACGCTTTTCAATG